GAAGGGGGAAGGAAGGGCAGTGTCTCCATCCCTCCCCCATTCCACTTGATGACGTATTCCTCAGCCCTGCACCTTTGCCAGCTCTGAGCGTTCAGGAGGCATTAGACAACCTCTCGTGATTCACAGAGGCTCCAAGTCATAGCGGTGTAATTCCCCATAAAGGTCTGACCGGTAGCAAGGGCGGAGAGGATGAACTTCACAGAGCTACGTGTTTTTCTTGAGTTGATACTGAGCTGCTCACTAGACCTCAGAAATCTGGGGTTTTTTCTTCCCCCCTCTACCCCCTCCACCCCCCCATCTGTGAACTGCAGATTAACAGGGTGGATTTAGGCAGACTACAGATAAAAGTTATGCTGTGGAAAACAGCCCAGAGACTGACACTGCGTGAGGTCAGGAATCTGAGAACAGGCCTGTCCATTTATGGCTCCACTGGAACTGAGGTGGTGCAGAGAGAAGACAAAAAATCCAATCAAACCCAAACCAGCAGAAACTTGAGTACTCTTATTTGTTAGGAAAGCAGGAACCTTACACTGGATTCTAGTTAATCTTTAGAGAATCCCCAAAGGAGTTATTAAATAAAATTTCTGATAAATATATATGCATGTGAAAGTTGTCATATACAGCAAACACAGATTTCCATATTGATTCAGTCAATAAAATGAAAGAAATACTCTTCAAACATTGTCTTTATGGGTTCTTCAGTACAATTTCCTAGACACAGACTGTGACTGGTGGGGATCTATTTGTCTGACTGCTGTGTTCTCTGAGAACAAGAGGGGAAGACATCCAGACTTCCCTTTGTTTCCATCAGACAAGAGAGGGAAAGTACCTTTTGGTAACTTTTCATCATCTTTGATGCTTCCTTTGCCATCACTTTGACCATATTTGGAATCAGTTTCTATTTTGACAGTAATATATTGATAAATGCTCTTTTAAGGAGTGAATTTTCATCTGACCTTCATCTGACCCAGTTTATGGTATTAGATACATTCCTGTCTAGCGACAGCATCAAAAGTCTTACTAAAGCCAAGATATAACATATTACTGTTTCTTTATCCACCTTAAGCCAGTTATCTTGTGTATGATTAGATAGTGGAACTCAGCCACTGGAGTGATTAAGGAAGGAGTTCAAGGGTAAATCCATCAACTAGTTGGCTTACAAACTGTCCATATCCAGTAGTTATTGCTAATAAAGATTATAAAGAATGTGAGATGTCTTTTTGAAGAGAACGTTACACTGTAGTTGTTGTTGGTAGATATAGCCTCCAACATGTCTTTGTGTTCTTGTTTATTTTGGGGTTTGTTTTCACCTTCTGAAGCTTATGTGTTTAAGTCATCTGAGATGGATACTGAATTGGGCCACAGATCAAGTCTGGGATAATTCCTTTGTCTCCTGTTTCTCATCATGTGGATTCTTTCATTTCTGACAGGATTCTTGGAGCATTTCTTGTCCTATCCTGCATTCCAGTGCTATCAGAATGCATCTCCCTTCCTATGTAATTAAATGAACATAACTAATTACATGTAATTATCCCCAGTTAAAATAAATTAATTAATATTGCTCTCATTGTTTTAAATGGAATGAAATAAGACTGTAAAGACATTTTCCTTTTAATGTGTTTCTGTTCTTTTAAAGAGTTGTCTGAACCCGTTTTTTTTCTGGCACAGCCTAAGCGAGTGTTGTTTGGTTTGTTTCTTACACATTACTCGTGGCTGGCTTAATAGCAGGGGGATAGTTATGAGGATAGTGAATAGCCTGGCTTCACGGAAATTTCTACTGGCATGAGTAAAGAAGAAACAGAGGGGTGGGAACTTATCCAGTAACTTCAAGTCAAATAAGTGTGAGAATAGTTAAGGAATATTTAATGTCTGTTTTCTCTCAGGTTTTTGGCTGACAGAATGAAAAGAGGGGGTTATTTCCTTTTGTCTACCCCTCACTCAGGGTGTGGTGCTAATATACCCACCTGATTTAATGACTGAGGAAAGAGACTTTCTGCTCTTCTCTCGATTTACACCTGTGCCTTCCTGCCAGTCAGCAGAGATACTCATCAGGCTACTGTAACAGTGAATTAAAATGGTAGAAGAGTTACTATACTTGAAGGGAGGCATATTGTTCCCTTTCTCTAAATTGGCTCAGGTTGGGTCACATCAGCTGAAGAAGAGGACAGTGGCTGAGGCTGGGAAGGAAAGGGGAAAGCTGTTTTCATCAGCAGGTGGCTGTTAATGAATGGGTTTAATCTCTGCAGTAAAGCTGAAGGGCACAGCACTTTAAGCTGCATGGATAAATGCTCCTTTCTGGATGTTGCCCCTGCCCTTGTACAGCAGAAGTACTTGGAGACAAGCTGCAAGGTCATAAGGGTTAAAATAGGAGAGTTTATTCATAACCTGAATCAGGTTTCCCAGTCCAGGGAGCTGTGCATCTATGGTGATGCTCTGCTGACAGACCAGAGAGATCTGTCTCTATGAAATAGAGGTAACACCAGGGTGAGTTCTCAGGGCTGGGTGAGGGTTCTACCCTTGAGTGAACTACATCCCTTCATTTTCAGGCAGCAGTGCAGGGAATTTGACTTGATGTTTGTGAGGTTCAATTTTGTATAGAGACTTCTGGATCTGTAATGGCAATGGACCTTAAAAATATTAGTCAGCTGTTCCTCTGTTTCATCTTTACCAAGGTACAGTAAACAGCAAAAGCATTGGACTGGCAGCCCTAAAGCAAGGTTGGTCTGCAGCTGCAAAATGTAAATAATCACAGACTTAACAATTTTGGATTAAATCCTAGCCATACTGGGAATCCTGCTGTTTGTGGTTTAGAGGTTTAACCCAAGGGTTACTTTTTTTCGTGGGATGCTGAAAATTTTAAAAATTTAACTCTGTTTTCTCGTGGACAAGTTGTTTGTGTGTGGTTTTGTTTGGTAGTTCTTTAATTGGTTGAAATCTGTTCTTTGTGAAAACGTACTCGTGATCAAGTTGACAGTTCGTGTGTTTCACACTTTTTCCTACTGTACAAATGTGAGGTGCTTATTGCATCGTGTCATGCCTCGATAATGTCCCAAATAGACTGGTGTACTGGGGAGATGATATAAGAACATCATTAAAACAATACATGGAAATTCTCACGAGGACTCCTAACCATGCTTAACAGTGTACGTGTTTTCTCTTAACTTTTAATGCTCTTGAAGCAGAGGAAATAAATGCTTTGAGCTAGCTGCATTTGGGTTAATCTGAACTCAAGAATTTTGTCTACTGTTAGATTCTGTTTATATTCAGTCCTTGGTAATAATTGGTGACACAGAAGTGTTCTGAGGTGTTTTTTAATAACCTTGTTGAGTAGATGCATGGGAGAGAGAGAGAGATTTCTTGTAGATCCAGATCAATCGTTCTTTATGTGGGGACTAGTGGTAGGATAAAGGCTTGTTCAGAAGACTAGAAATGAATGAACTGGGCTTACAGACCACTTCCCAGAGTGATTTTATACAGTGCATGAGTTCATACTGTCAGCAGTTGCAGTTTGGGTACTTCTGTGATGCAAAATTCTATAGTTGGAAAAAACATGTTCATTTGGGAAGGAGCAGCTTCTTTGTGGTAGTTTACAAATGCTTTTATTTCCTGACTGGTTTTCTTCTTCTTCTTTTCAATGCTTTTGTTCCTGACTGGTTTTCTTCTTCTTTACCTTTATGAGGAAGAGGAATAAAAATCAGTAATAGAAGAATTCTACACTGCAGGAGGCTGTCATGTTTCATATGGAAAATTATATTAAAGAGACACCAAAGGCAACATCCGAACGGTCTGTATTTAGCGAATAGTAAAATGGGTAGAAAGGATGAGATAGTGGAATTATATCCTCATTTTTTAAATTGGAAATGCTCTACCAATGTTACAGCTGTATCCAGTTCTCTAGGATAATTTTACAAACTCAGTCTGTTCCTGACCATCCTTTTTTTTTCTTCACTGAGAACAGGATCTGCATCAATATAATTACTTTTGTGGCAGCATGAGATTCCCCTTGAATATACTCTTTCTGTATCTTTCTGTCTCTTTCTAGGGCTTTATAAGATTTTCAGTGAACAAATGTATGCTGTGCCAGCGACTAGCTGAGGGCTTTTGTGGGAAGTCAGACCTACATGTATGCTTGACTGCAGGAATTTAATACATGGTAACGGCCAATTGAACTCTGCTTGTCTGTGGAAATAAGCTGTGTGTCCCACTGCAAGGAATGCGGACACTATTGGAATAAGGCATTCAGCTGAGATTCAGAAGACCTTGTTCTAAACTACTGAAAATTTCTGTTATTCTTTGGCAGACTGATTGTAGATTCATAGAATGGTTTGGAGTGGAAGGGGCCTCAAGATCATCTAGTTCCAAGTCTACATGTCTGGTTGCTCACAGTCCTGTCTGACCTGACCTTGAACACTTCCAGAGACGAAGCATCCACTACTTCTCTGGGCAACCTGTTCCAGTGCCTCACCACCCTCACAGTAAAGAATTTCTTCCTAAGATCTAATCTAAACCTATTCTCTTTCAGTTTAAAGCCATCACCCTTTGTCTTATCATTACACACCCTTATAAAAAGTCCCTCTCCTGCTCTCTTGTACTTTAGGTACTGGAAGGCTGCTCTAATGTCTCAAGCCTTCTCACCTCCAGGCTGAACAACTCCAACTTTGTCAGCCTATCTTCACAGAAGAAGTGCTCCAGCCCTCCGATATAAAAGCCCGGATTTGAGCTACAAGCTCATCGAAGGGGTTTTACTTTGAAAATATACAAGGCTCCAAAAGTACACTTGCTGGATCTATTAAAAGGGCCTTCAGTTCTTTTAATTCCTTGAGAGAGTGCTTGGGAGAAGACACTGCACACGTTTCTCAGGAGGTCAAACACACTTTTACTGGCAATCTTTGGACAATAAGGGAACTTGGCAAAAATTTAAAGGGCAACATTCAACCAAAACAGAACATTCCACAAAGCATTGACTTAGTACATGCTAACTCATACAACTTAGCAAAATCCAACCCATCTGGCTTTCAGTTAATCTCCTTTCTTGACACTTGGGTAAGAGAAGAAGAAGTAAAAAAAGAGAGAGAAGAAGAGAGAATTATAGCCACCACCCCCTATCCAGCATAGATCCAGCTACCAGTAGTCCAGGAGATGGCAGGACTGCGACCATGTGATGGCCACATGGTGTTGGTTTTATCTGCTCAGGCCTCCTGTGGCCACCCACAGCAGGTGGGACTTCTGGTGTGACAGCCATTCTGGGGCTGGGTTAGGGGCTCCAGGGAGTGTGGTATTGGGCAGTGCTCCAGGGCTGCCCAAGGAGGCTCGAAGGGGTGGGGTGTGGAATGGACACCACTTCACCTTTGTGAAATTTGACCTGTCCCTTCTGCCCCTCCCCCCCCAGTTGGTCTGAGACAATAATAATATAATAATCCAGTATCTCACACTCTGATCATCATCATAGCCCCCCTCTGCACTCACTCCAACTGGTCCATGTCATTCTTCTGCCAGGGGCCCCAGAGCTGGATGCAGTACCCCAGGTGGGGTTTCCCGGGAGCAGAGTGGAGGGGGAGAATCACCTCTTTTGACTTGCTGTATGCATCTCATTTATTTGTAAGATACCTCCTTTTTCTACCCTTGGTTCAACTTGTTTATTTGGATGATAAAACTGTTATATTCTCTGTTGTCTGGACAACAGCTTGTTTTTGACAACCTTGATGTTAGCCTGTGAGCACTGCTGTGACATAAATAGCCAATCCATGGTGAGAAATAATGGTAATAAGATGAAAGAAGAGGAAAAATCCTAATAAAAATACATGTAATAGCAAGACAGCCAGTATTATCTCCCCATGTGTTAATATCTGGAATTCTAAAGGATATCCTGATATAATGCCCAAGGTTTCATGCTGAGAAAATGGTAAAGCTGGGGGTTTTTTTTAAGTTCTATCAGTTGGTTCTGTAAGTAAACATGTGTTCCTTTTGCTGCAATGATATAATTCTTTGTATCTACTTTATTTTTAAGGAAATGAGTTTTTAGCCACATAATGATAATCGTGATACACAATGCCTGATCAGGACAAAAAGTTGAGGAGCACAGAAAAAACAACAGACAAAAAACCTCATGGGATCTCTATGAGGTATAGTATCTGATGTTTTACTTTGAACTTCAGCAAGACTCGCGTGGAATTTGCACTGGCTGCCAAAGCAGAATGTTTTAATTTGAAATGCAATGTAAACATGACAACTGTTACTCTGGTCACAAAGTTTATTTACACCTTTGTTGATTTAAGTCATTCTGGAGAATTTGTAAATTCACAAAATGGGGACACTAGGCAACACCAGAAAACTTTATTTTCTGCCAGTAGCGTTGTTGCTTGTTGACCTTCCTTACTCTTATGGAAATACTTTTATGTAACTATTAGCACATGTCTTTATGCTATCGTGTTTTTTCCTAGGGATTATTCTGACCTGAAAAAACTTCAGTCTCTCTTGAATGTTCGGTCAAGGAACCAACAGGTATTTTTCAATAACTGTTATTAAACATGCTTTAGAATTCTAATTAATGGTGATTATGGTTTGTGGCATATACTTAGAACATCGTGTTCTATTATGATTAAACTTTTTTTTCCAATGTTAGACCTACTGTGTGGGACAAATCCCATTTTGAACGGGTAAAAGAATGAAACTGCTCCTCTTCTCATCTTACTACACCATATCTTTTTTATTTTAATGAGAAAAAATAACTTCATTTTGTATCTTGAGCAGGTTTTATGCAGCTGTTGTTGCATATAGTCAAGTAGTCTAACAGATTTGTTCTCCTCCGTGCCCTGCCACAATGTCACAAGAAGGTAGGCTTAGAGATGTGTAAGTTACAACAGAGGGGAGAGTGTTAAAGAATATAAAATAAGATCAGCATTTTAACCAGAAACAGTTTGTCTTTGGAGAATAACACTTCAGCTAAAAATATTCGAAGCATAAATATCAATGCATGAAACTTACAGGACACACTAAAGTCTCCTTAACCTCAACTCAGTGAAGCTTGTATTTACCATTTGAAGCAAAGAAAACCAACATGTGATGGAAAAACACCATCAGGGTGTGTGTCTTCGGAATGCCAGAACATTTTTTCCCTTTCTATTCTGTAAAAAGATATGACAAAATGCCTTAAGGATTCATCTGCGTGAGGTAGGAGTTGTGCACTTTCTACGTGGTTGGAATTGCTTCTGAGCCAAAAGCTGAGACATGTGAATTCTGCAACCTAAAATAAATGTGAAGGCTGTCCAATTGTAGAATTGGGACAGGTAAGGAGCATAGATAATGAGCGTGTGTTGCATATTTTGTTGAGTTTTGCTATTATAAATTTTAAAAGACACCATTCTTCACATTTTGTTTATGTACTTGTTTTCCGGTCTAGCTTTGCGTCAGTTTTCTGCCACCTCAGTTTTGTTTTGAAGGGGTTGTGCGTATTTTATGATGGGAAGTTATAGGTCTGAAGTTCAAGTCAGAACTTGAGAAAAGGTACTTTTGCTGGATAATATTCTCATAAAACTTAAAATGCAGTGTTTGCCTAATGATGACTATCCCTTTCCTCCTTAGCTTCCAGCTATATATTTTGAAAGTGTTCAATCCAGTGTGACAAGAGCTCGTAAAAATGTGAAAAGCAAGGAACAAGAACCCAGTGGTCAATGGCAAGAATCAACAGAAGCTGCTGAGCTTGAAAAATTTAGGTAAAAATAAAAAAAAGCTAATATGATGGCACACTTGTTTCTCTGAGTATCTTTATATTCTTGTATCTAAAGCTTATTGAGGTGTTGAAGGCATTTATATTTGTACTTATGTTTATTACTTATATTTTGATATTAACCCAGTATTTGAGATACGAATGATGTATTTTTAACTTTCTAAACCTAACTGTGAATGTTTCTGCCTTTGTAAGTTTCAAACACTTACTCCCACTCAACAGAGTATGCTGTATGACTGTCCACCATGGCAATATCTTCAGGTCACTTTAAAACCTGGCCTGCAAATTTTGCACACAGGTATATGGTTGCTGTTTTTATTCCATGAAAGTTTTGTGCTGTTCGGAAGATGCCAATTATGGAATCATAATGAAAAATAGTATTTCTTGAGGCAGAATATTGGCAGAGGGGCTGAGATTTTGTTAGCATCTATTTGTAAAACATTTATTTTTATCAAAGTATTTTTAGCTATTGGCATAATTCCGAACTGCAAATGATAAAATAGGAAGAGAACTGACGTGTCCCATAAACTTCTTCTGTTTCTTGGAAATTTATCCAAACAAGTTCTATCCTCTCAGTTAAAACAACAACAAAAACACACAGCAAAGATGTCTAATTTTGGGTTTATTTTAAATAGTAAGATGGGGTTATATACCTTCAACAGACAATGGAAACTGTGATTCTGTTACTGGTATTTTATGCAGGATTACTGCCCCTGGGTGCTTTGTGCAAATCTGCAAATTTGATTGTGTTTTCTGCCAAGCCTTGTGCTGGAGAACTGTATGGAGGAATATAAAGGGGGAAGTTCTATGTGGAAATACAATCCTATTTCAAGAACATTTGAACTATAGCTATTTTTGGTTCTATGGCCTACGTGTTTTTACATAACTGTGTTTTGTGCACTGAAGTTTGCTGTGTGGTTTCTCTCTTATTTCTGCCTTTTTGGGCCTTGATCCAAACACTTAAAGTATCTTTATATCAAAGCACACTCGATTTGTTCTTAGAGATAAGCATGTACTTTCCCACATCGGTTCAGTGATAATAAGTGATGACTGGCAGTGCTCATATAATGAAATAAATTTATTTATAGCTGCTTCTAGGGTTGAATATTAACAGTATTAAAAGTTCTATGATATAGTATGTTGAACAGTTGTTGTAGCTCACTAATCTTCTAGTCAATTGATTCCCGAATCAAACTGTTTTATTTGTTTAAACACTATTTTATTGAATTTGGTTAATGTTTTGAATATTTCTTTTACAGGGAGTGGGTTATTCAAGCTCCCTCCACCCATTTTCTTAGAGTATTGATCTGCCTGAGATTATTAATAAGGGATCCATGCTATCAGGTCAGTATGTCAAAATATTGTTTCTTGCTTGGATAGGAGAATGCATATAAGCATCATGCATATAAACTGTGTTGGTGCTTATGTATAAAGACATTTGTTCTTATGAATGCATACTTATTATATGTATGTGCCAATATTTCTGTATGTGAAGATGTGATTTGTAAACAAACAGATTCCAAGAGTGATTTTGCACTGTTACTGCATAACTTGCTCTGGTATTTCTTATGTAGCATCTGTTGTTGCTAACCCTAACAAAGAAACTGTAAATCTCCCAACAGATGAATGGGTCATTCCACTGAGCCCTAGGCTCTGTACTTGACTTTACCATATAAATATGTAAAATTGCCATAATGTAATAAGTGAAGTAAACTGAAAGCCACAGTTTTAAAACCTTTAAAATTTCACTTCTGTGTTTTTATCTACTTATTTTAAGTAATTCTTAACTCTGAAGGTGCTAAGCATTTCAAGCGTCCATTGACTTTGACCACTGGAGTCAGAATTTCTCAATAAACAAACAAAGTTTGTTTTCAGGACAAACCAACCATTTATGTTCTAGTGTTCTCTTTTTCTGGTATTTTCCATATTTTGACTGATTTTTAATTTTTTTTTCCATCTTCCTGTAGGAAATGCTTCACAGCTTGGGTGGAATTGAAAATCTAGCTCAGGTACCTCATATACCCTTGCCCATTATGTTTGCATGTCAGTTTATTATGTTTAGAACGAAATACACTGCAAAAAGCAGTGTCCATATATTCCTGGTTTATGGAACACAGTCCAGTACTCTGCACATAAGCAGTTGGTGTGGTCTTTTTCATTAGTGTACAAAACTGTACAAAGCATCTGTCCTTATATACTATTGCATTACAGAACGTTTTTTCATGAGACAGATGCACCACCTACAGACTATTTCTGTGCATAACATTCTGGGTTTATGAAGTCTTAAAACTTTTTTTACTGGTATTCTTTATTTTTTCTCTTCTTGTAGTATATGGAAACAGTAGCAAATAACTGTCTTAATTACATAGAGGAGCAGCATAATGTAGACAAGTTGGTCAACATGACATGTAAGTGTTATAGCTGATAACAGATGTGATAAGGCTACTTACAACTTTTTGTGTGAGGCTTAAAATGTTGAGAATACTTGAGGTGGTCATTAAGTAAGATACTACTAGAATCATTGTAGGTATCAGCACACAAATAAAAACTGAAATTCCTGTGGAAAAATATATTTTGTTTTTCTACGTTTAAGTATTTTAGAAATTATTACCTCTTTATGCATTGAACTGGCAGAGTAAAATTAACTAGTCATGATTCAAAGAACTTGTGCAGTATTTTGCTTTATCTAGTAAAATGAAAATATTAAGTGGTAAAGATTCAATTTATTTAACTTCTTTTCTTCCATAGACATTTTCCAAAAGCTTGCTGCTGTTAAAAAATCAAAGAGAATGGGTCATAGCAAGTGGAGCACATAAAGTAAGTGCTTTATAAAATTGCTAATTATATGCAATTAGCTACTTAATGGAATGACTTATGCTTTTCAGATTTGATTTAGGTGGGATTAAATTCCTTACCTTGTCAAGCTTGTAAAGTGAAATAATCTCTGTGTTTGAGAGATATACTAGTAATATCATAAAAATAATTTCTTCTGTGTAAGTTAATTGGTCTGATACATGGTTATTGGTTGTTTGAGATAAATTTAAATGTTTGGACTAAACTCTTTCATATAAAAATTGGTACTCATGTTTACACTGTCCTGAGCTACACGTTACTATGATACAAATAGTTTTACATAATTTTAAAATATAAATATATTTTAGTTATTTTTTATAACAAATTCTGCTATGATTTTTCACTTGTGAGGTATTCTAAATAGAATAGTGTCAAGCTAGACAGTGACAACCCAGGCATAATGCTATACATTACCATTAGTCTAAGGATCTGTATTTACCATTGCTGATTTGTGGCTAAACTGAGAAACAGTAGAGATTGAAATAATTTTAACTCAAATTTCATGATTTCATCATGCTACAGAAAAACATAGGCAATTCTGATTAGATAATATCAGACAACCTGTTTTTAGAGAATCTAGACAAATATGAAGTTTACTTTAGATTTAAATCATGAACAGAAATACAGAAAGGGCCTTAAATTACTGTGCTGTTTAAATATAAGCTATATATTAACGGTTTGCTTCAGGAGGCGTTATTTAGAGTTCTGAAATGTCTTACACAGAAACTAATTTTTACAATGGTCAAAGTTGGACAGATGCTTTAGCAGTCAAAAGATACGCTAATTGCAGTTTGAGAAGAAATGTCCCTACTTGTCCTAAAAATAGGTGTATTCTAAGACTTTAAATGTTTATTTAAGTGTACTTTGAATGTACCTAAGACTTTTAACATACTGTGAAAGGATTTGGTATCTTAATTTTTACTTTTCAATAAATATTTCTATATGTGTTTTGAGTTGTAAAAGAAAATATTATACTTTATGTTTACTTACCTTGTTTCATGTTTTATTTTCCAGACCTCAGTAAATTTGTTATCTGCCCGAGACAGCAATGTCCTTTTGGGTGCCCTCCTTGCTCTGATTAGCCTAGCAGAAAGGTAGGTTCAACTTCATGTGCTGTAATTAATGTTTTCTCTTGACACAATATTGAAACTGCTGTTTATGTGGAAGAGTTTTTTTTTTTTTCCAAAATGAATCTTTGTTTTGTGGAAATCTATGAAATGTTCTTAATTTTCTACTGAAGCATTAGAAACTAAGTAGAAACTTTGGTCCTTGCAGCAGACTTCTTGTTCATGTGGAGAACTCTGCATGACTGGAGTCATAGGATCTCTCTTTGAGATTCTTATGCAGGGTTCTGGAATTCCTACTGACTTTCTGCATATAAAACTCTTTTGTCCTGAGGTTAATCTAACAGTGCCTCACAATAATCAGGTATAATATTGTTCAGTGGAGTAAATAATAAAAGCATGCACTCAAATCTATGTATATGTACCCTTCTTTCATGAATTAGTGTTTAAATAAAGATAACACTTTTATCCTGAGGTGGAGGAGAAAAAAAGGAAAAGAAAGATAGAGCATCTTTCATCTGTAGTAGTTCTATAGAAAAAAAGATGCTTCTTCTACATCGTTGTTCTGTTGTCTTCCAGACTTCCCAAAATTCTTGCAATCTGATCCAGTTTAATTTTTTTTAAAATGTCCATATTAATTTAAATGATATTACACATACATTTTCAACTTCCATTTAAGTTTCTTCACTGAATTAAATGTGTTACATTTGGACTAGGCAAGAAAGTGTTTGGAGTATATTACAAATGTTCATGGAAATTGTGGTTGTTTCTAAAAATGTACCTCATTTGTTAAATTTCTAGTAAGAAACAAAATACATTTGTGTCTTTACTTTTATGCATTTACATTTACTTTTTTTCTACTGGTAAAATTGGAAATTTTTGAACTGTTACTCTTCACCCAATGTATATTTGTGGCTTTAAGTATTTGTGTGCACAATATGATATTATTAATTAAGACTTGATTAAAAAAAATTAATCAAATGTATAAGGAGAAAAACTAAAGAGCAATGCATGTTTTTCATATAATTTCATCCAATATAAATGCCAGGAATAATCATTTGTAGTCTAGAATGTAGGGAGAAGATAAATAAGTGAGCTCACCATTGTTGAGAACTTGCTGGTGATATTACATGAATACAATTTTCTCTCTAAAAGGTGAGACTTGGTTTGTGGATTAATTGTGTTAAAATATATTTTGACTTTTTCATTTAGGGGCACGTTTATTTAGAGGAATTAGATAATGTGCCACTTTAATTTACCCAGGACACTGAAATATCTGTGTATTTTCAGTCAGATATTGATATAACAAAATCTTTTCCAGTAGTTCCGCTGTAAGCAATCTGCTCTCTCTCCCTTAGTGGCCTCCAGTGCAGTCCAAATGAGTTGCAATGTTACAATAAAGTGATAGCAGTCACTTTTCTTGCTGTGTCTCCTCTTTGCTCATGGCAGACCTGAGTGGTTGGATGGAAAGCATGCTGAACTCTGACAGTCCCTGGGATGCCCAATATAAACTAGTAAAATTGCAAGAGCTGTAGCTGCTGTAGTTTATGCCAGGGGCTGGGTCAGACCCAACATCCTTTCATTAAGAACTCTTTAAGTGTAAAAACTCTTTAAGTGTCCTTTCATCTCAGCTAAGACTGCTAGCTGAGCATCACATATCTGTATTTCAGTAAAAGACCAAAAGACTTTCAAATTTGATAATGTGTGACCAGATTTAAAATTCTGAAGAGATTTTTAAAATTTCATGCTTAATTATTTTGCACATATAATTTATTTTATATATTACTAAGGATAAAGAAATTGAATATATCAAGAGATTTTATTTAGTTTGTGGGTTTGAAAACTATTTAGATTATATGTTAACCAAATGTTGGATATAAAAACTAGAATTTGAATGTACACAGAAAGCTGATGAAGTTCATTGCTAGTTAAGGATAATTTTAAATTTAGTTATGAACCTGAATTCATATGTTTCATCAAACACATGTGCACCTTTCTTGCTTTTAATGAAAATAGGTATCCTTAAGCATATTTTCTGTGGGAATTCCACCTAAATTGAAGTGAAATTAAGAAAATCTTGTATGAGCCTTTTAAAGGATATGTCCAATCACTTTTCTAAACATAATGTTCAAACCATACTAGAGAAGAATCACGCTTATTTCTGTTATCTGTGGAACTAGGTTATGTGAGTTCCACAAATGGACTTTCCAAGTTCATGCAGTTGGTGCTATTTGCAGTACTAATGCCATTAACAAGAAGGTGGTACCATGGATGACTGCAGTCCACCTGGTCACCTCCCATCCTGGCTGTATATGCCTGGTTGCCTATGCTGACAGTCATACTCAATGTAAATATAATTTCATCCTTTGTGAAAATTTGGACCATTGTCTTCTTTTTTTTTGTTAAACAATGACTTTAACCAATTTGCAATGACTATAAGACATTTTCTTTAACTTCTTTTTTTTTATAGGAGACCTCTGTTTTTTCTTAAACTTTTGATGTGATTTTTTTTCCCCTTTGATATCTGACAATACAAAGTAATTATGGAGTTATTGTTAAAATTTCTTGCTAATTTTGTTTTTTTAGGCTCACAGCAGAGTTGCTACGACTCCTTTGTGCAGAGTCATGAGTCAAGGAACAAGTAAAAATATATGAAGGAGTTCCAGTCTTGCTCAGTTTACTCCATTCTGATCATATCAAACTTCTGTGGAGTATAGTTTGGATTCTGGTACAGGTTTGTGAAGATCCTGAGATTAGTGTGGAAATTCAGATTTGGGGTGGAATCAAGCAGCTCCATCATATATTACAGGGGTAGGTTTTCAGTCCTCAACTTCATGGCAATTGTATGAGACTGTTTGATATTTTAAGATATATTTGACCAAGCCCTGTTTCATTAAATAGCATCTTTGGTTTGTTCAGCTTTGTATGATGCCTGCAGAATTTAAAAGGCTTTTTAGAACATAATGAGTGAGTAATATTTTTTTTCAGCTTTTCGTGTTTCATTGTCATCCTTCAGGTGGTTTTCATATTTGTGGCGTATAAACTAAATAACGAATAAATCATAAATATGTCATTACTGTCTACTTAGTTTCCCAGTTAATTAGACACCTATTTAGTGAGCTAGAATTGTGAATATAATTGATGAACATGGTAAAGGAGTTTTCTGCTTAAAGGCTTATTTGCTTTTTCAAAGTGTATTAGCTAATCTAGTGAAAAAAATACAAATTTTCAGAACTTCAGAAATGGTTAACAAAGACATATTAAGACACTTATAATTTGATTTTTGTTTTGTTTTGTTTTTTTCTTCCAGGGAAAGAAATCTTTTTTCTGATCACTCTTCAGTTAGAAGTTTATCTAGTGCAAATGCAGCAGGGACAATCCAGGATCTTCATTTGTCAAATGATTTGAGTCCTGAGTAGATGCAAAAAAATACTTTTTCACTTCAGGCGGGTAGGTTTATAAGGTCTAATCCACTGTTATGTCTTTATGTACATTTACACAAAAGGATTCAAAATATTTCAAAATTGTAAATTTTATACGTGCTTTAGAGAGTAGGAGCACCAAGTCAGATGTATTTATTTCCATATGTGCAATACCACCACTTATTTTCAAAAAGCATACTTTTGTTAGAAAGAAGCAAAGCATGAAGTATTAAGTATAGGGGAATTAGATATATTTTTCACCTGTAAAAACATCTTGTATATATAATTTTGGGTTTACCCTGAGATTATTTTTATTTGATCATGTTTTCCCCTCTATTCAAATTTGCTATGGTAGATCAATCATGAATTGATTATGATGGAACTCTGTTTCAAAGTGGTATTCTAAAGACTACCAGTCAGGTTAGGATTCCTCAGTAGTTATGGAGCAAATTCCTTTTAAAGGAGATTTCTCAATAGGAAGCTAACTTCCCATTCTGAAAGCCTTCTGGAGGATCATGTCTTTTTCCAATCACTATAGAAGGACAATGCAAAGTATCCTTACTAGAATTACATAAATGTTACCTCTGAAGAGTTGGCAATGTGAAATAAATCTGGTATCCAATCTTCCTGTCTTTATCTTGACCCATGCATTTTTCCATCCTATTTTCTCCCTCTGTCCCATTAAAGAGGGGGAGTGAATGAGCAACTAGATGAGCATTTGGCCCTTTGCTAAGGTTAACCCACCATATTATCCAAATATATGTATGAATCTGGCCCTAAATGTTACATCTGAATTTTTATTCTAGCTTGTTGTGCTGCGATTACTGAGCTGGTGCTCAATGAGACTAATGCTTACCAAATTGTACAGGTAGGAAGGGAAGATTTTATTCACTTAAGTAAGGTACTATAGTTTATAATTTCAATTAATTGTTGTTGTTCGCTATCATAATTTAAGAGATTGCAAAATATGCCTTTCTATAACTTTAGTTTTTCTGTTTCTTTATAGAGTTACACACAGAGACATAGGCACAAAGGTATCAAAATAAATGTCTGGTTGTCTGGAAGAATAAACAGCATTATTCAGACAAGTTTCATTTTGGTTGGCATCTCTTGCTGTGCTTTTTCATATTCTTAACAGGATAGTAAATAAGAGTAGTCACAGAATTAACTGAGAAATGCAAATTCTGAATTACATGAAGTTTATTAAAGCAAACTATGCAGCTTAAAATTGACATGTTATTTCACATCAATTTATCTTCTCTTAAGGGTGTCGTATTTCTGAGATAACTTCCTGGCATTCCATCTCCAGGGGTAAACCATTCTTAAAATCCCTGATTGTATTCCAGACCTAGTCAAAGATAAAAGTAATTAGAACATAAATAGCAATGAAAACCTGTAGCCAGCTCTTACACTCTGAATGTTAACTCAGTGATCAAAGCCTTCAACTTAGCCTAAAACCCAACTAGAAGTATTCCTCAAGGAACTGAGGATCCTTAAATATGACCAGGAAATAAGTTTGTGTATATTTCAAAACTATTGGTTAGCAGGAAAGGAATGAAAGTAAGCCTAGAAAAAATATTTTCTATGATTCTTAAGCACTAAAATCATCAATAAACAATTTAGACAACTTTTTATCTGAACAATGTAACTACATACATTTTAGGCTGACTTTGATTTCATCAAAATAGAATATCACTTGCTTAAATTAAATGATTTTAACATAGAGGTTTTCTGTGTTGCTCTCACAATGCATGGTAACTGTAGTCAGTAAATTTCTTAAAAATTGATGGTACAATGTGCAGCCTGGGAAAAGATGTTTCAAACTTAACTTCTCCTACTCATTCTGTTAAGACACTGACTTCTCCATTTGTCAAAACACCAGCCAACAATTCCTCTCTCAGATCAGGACATACCTTCAAGCATGTTCATTTCCATTGGAGTTCCACCGTACAACAGCCACTGTAATTTAAAATCCTTCTTCTTTCTCGGTGCTAATACAACTTTGAGAGTTGCATGGGGAACAAGATGAAGGAACTCACTTGGGGTTAAAAACAGAGGAAGAAGATTTGCAGCTCATTCACTTATGTGCCGAGGAAGTCGATCTAAGTGACCTCTAAAGGTTTATACCGTTTAGTGTCAAAGGACTCTTGGTTCAGGCATTTGGGAACCTTTTGCTTCTGCTGTAATTGCCTTCTACCCATCTGTCTTGTCTCCTTGCCTCAACTTACAGCCTTGGTAGCAGTCTGCAGTAATTCTGGTAGCAGATAGAATGTGCTTATGATTCAATGGCTCTATTGCACCATCTAAAACCTTAGCTTAAGTCTACCTTCATGAACAGTTGAAGAAAACATGAAAAAAACTGCAACAGAGCCTCAGCGGAGCTGGCGCATATTTCCTTCAACTTTGCTAGAGAGGAGTTTTCAACAGGGAGCTTATCAAGTAATTGGGAGCAATACTCTTAACTAAATGAACCAGTACCCATCTATCAGACCAACACAGTGGATACATTAAAGGAGGACACATGGTTGTATGAAAATGGAAGCTGAAATCAGTATGGTTTTCACAAAATCCTGCTGAAGGCACAGATTCCTCAGGCTATCACTTTTGGTGTTTCTCCAGTTTGTATTTATTGAGACTGGATTTTTAGTTCCTGACAATGCAGAATATTCACATGGTGACAGGAGATCTGTTGCTGCAATTTCTTTCACCTCCAGAGATGGAAGCATTGCTTCATTATCCGTTCAAAAGCTCTCTTTGCAGTATCAGTTTAAATGGAACAGTGATTTAATTCTTTTGTAGATTTAAGTAATTTGAACTTATATTTTAGATGTTGAGAACTTGTCTATTGGTATTAGCTTCTGATTTATCTGAAGCAACACTGATTCTTATTGGTGGTTTCTGTGCAAAGGAGCATTATTAATATTGACCTTTCTCTGTTTCTAGGCAAATGGAATATATACAATAGCAAAGCTGATTTTACCCAACAAAGAAAGGAATGCTGAAAAAGCCAGTTTATTACAGGTAACTGTAATTATTATGATTGGACATTGAAAGCCCCAAACAGTTCCTGAGAACTTTTTGTGAATTGAAGTTTATTTTATAGTGAAAAAAAAAGTCATACTTAAAGGGGAAACCCCCTCCACCAAAACAAACCCAGGAATAACAAATGGCCCACAAACTAAAAGTTAAATTGTGCTTCAGTTTCTGGTTTTCTGTTCTGATTTACTTTGTTTCTAAAACCTTATATAGTGTAAAGGAAAGTGAATATTTTTCTTGTGATAGTCTTTCCTCCAGTTTTTCAGGTTGCCCAGCATCAGATCTTCTTTGTAGTGCCTTAATTGTCATTGAAACTCACTGTAAATTTGACACTGTACTAATATCTGTTTATTTCTGGAGCATCCTACTGCAGCTGTTACATGACATATAGGAAAACAATCACATGAAGTAGAAAAAATGTAAGTGTAGGATAAATACAGACCCACTAAGCGTAGAATGGCTCTTGGTTTTGCATATCATTACCCCCATAAATGTATTGGTTTGAGTCAACTTAGGCTAAAGGTTATCAGTAGTAATTAATTATCTGGTAGCTTTTCTCAGGCTCTGTGAAAATGTGGGTGTCTCTCTAAGCTATAGGAAAGTAGTGGGCTGGGGTTTGGGGATGAACACAGCTGCTGCTGCTCTGGTTGCCTTTCTCTGGGCAAGTCTGAGAAAGTCCTTAGCACAGGTGGATGCAGTCAGGATCCTGCCTCTCACCTGCTCTTTGTTCTGGCATAGCCTTACACTAACATGGTTACATAGCTACTCAACTATCTAATCAGGTAGGCGTGCTTGAGTAGTAAGGGAAGGCATTTCCACAAAAAAAGAATTTTGTTCTAGTGTCATCTTTCTCACTGCAGTTCTTCTAGATTAGGGCTGGGGAGCTGATTCAGTGCAGTAGGTGTCTTTCTACTACAACAGAGTTTTATAGTGCATTTCAGTTAAATCATCTTAAGGATGAGATAAATAAAAGTCTTCCTAAAGGATATATGAAACTAACGTTGAGTCTAATGAACTGGAGCATATGCACACTACAGTTGCCTCACAGAATTGTAAGGAGTTTAATTTATGCCCACTGAGATTTTTAGATTGCAGCAGAATGTGTTGGAAATAACTCACAAGAGCTACTAAGCAACTGTAGCTGGGTTAAACATGAAGCCAATGTGAATTAATAATGGACTTCATGATCACATATGAAAGCTAAATCTGTTTTGGGTAAACATTAAGAAGTATATTTTTATGAAACCTTATTCATATTCTCCCACAGCCATCTGTATTGCCTTTGTAATTGTTACTGCTATGAAATACAGTGGCAGCTATTGAAATACCCTTTTTTAATTTCTTAGGTATTTTTCTTAGAATTTTTTGAATGCTGGTCTGGTTTCTTTACTGCCCCATGGTCTATGTTTTCAGTGATTAAATGTCAGCTTCTTTCTGCCATGCTACCTTAGTGATCTTACTCCATGACTATCTTTGTTTGCTCAGCCAAACTAAAGATGAGTTGCATAAAAGCATACATATTAGCTACCTGCCAGTGGCTGTTTTAAAAATAACCTTCCTTTAGAAAAGATCATATTGGAACAAAGATACATAAATATAGAAACTGAGGTACATAAAGATCCCTGTAAATATGATGAATTTAGGATTAAAAAGTTGAGTGTTCTCTCTTTCTCACTCTTCTTTTTTTGTCCCCTGCTAAAACTTACAGTGTTCTACACTGTATTTTTCAGAAAAAATGCAAAATGCTTTTTCTACCGCAACATTACAGACCCACTGATTACATTTACCTTTTTCAGCACTGGAGAGGAGATCAGTCTCAAGTCTTGAGCTATCTGCAAACAAAAAGAGATGATTGAGATTTAAATGTTCCTCAGCATGTACTATTGTCACCAACTGTTTTTTTTAAACATTTTTTTTCCCTAAATATTCCAGCATACTTTTAAAATACAGGAGGAGCTTAATATATTTTTATTCCCTTTGTTATCGGGTAAATAAGATAATCTATCTAGTAATTTAAATACCAAGTATACCAATGTGTAAAGTCGAGGGGAATCCTTGTTTATCAGTGGCTTTTCCATTTGTGTATAAATTTCTTATTAATGGAGTACTTTTCCTGTTGTAGTGTTATGCTTTCAGAGCCCTGAGATTTCTCTTCAGTATGGAAAGATATCGGCATGTTTTCAAAAGGTATGGTAACCAAATGTTTTGTGAAGCTCCTTTAGGATAGTTTTCAAAAGTCCAATCAGAAAGACCTATTTTTTAAATGTAATTTATTATCAACAGGAGGAAATAGTAATGGGCAATTTCTGTCCTGTCCACGACTACAGATAGCCAACCCTGTACTGCATCAGTGCAAGTCTACAAGATTTAGATATCTACAAGATTTTATATGTGGGGACTTGTGTGCATGCCAGACAACCTGGCTCTGCATGGGCTCCTTCTCCCCCTGCGAATCAACATTTTAAATATGTTGAGGACAGATTCAATACTGTTGGAGATAAAACATACTTCTACCCTGAAGATTAGCAGATGCAAGTTGCAGCCCTCAACAGTAGTAATTAACTGGGAACAGTAAAATTTTTTCTCTGAGCCCTCAATTCCTTCACATGGGAATGACTTTGCATCAAGCTGTTTTACTTAGGAGTGTTGTTGAAAGGTTTCAATCAATAAGGACAAAATGCTTTTCATCAATTCCCCATTTTTGCTATTAAGATGACAGTTTCACCAGGTTGGCTGCAAAGGCCATGTGCAATATAACAGTGTGATTTGTGGTATTAGAATAGTAATCAGAATTAGATTAGGAGCTCTGCCTGTCAATAGTGTTTCTAGTATGTTTTTAGTATGTATCAGAAATTACTAAAATTCAAATATAACTTTTGTGTTATATTTTATTTTTTAAAAGCAGATTTTGTACTGAAAGTGCCCTAGTTTGTAGTGAATTGTCATGGTTGCTGACAGGTTTTTGCAGAATCTGGGCCAATTTGCCCTCTTGATTTTTCCAAATGCGTTAATCTCCTGCATTTCTACTTCTGCCAGAACATTAAAAAGAAGCAACTTCTGTTCAACATGTAACTAATCAATTATTGCCTACTATCTGTTAGCTTTTGCTTTTCTCAGTCCTTTTCATCTTTTAGACTAGACTTCTTCAGCAAAAATTCTAATATGGGTGTCATCATTCTCTGAATGCAGAGAATTGTTAATCCTATCACTTAATGCATTACAAGAAGAAACTCAGATACTACAAGAAAAAAAATAGGAAAATTACTGGAAACTCAGTGGAGGCTGAAGTCTGACTTTTAAAAAGTCCTTTAACTGTTATGTCTGTAATGTTAGAGGGCTAATGTCTCAATAGATTAGTAAAAAATGAGTGTATTATTTAGGATGTTCTGAAGTAAGTTGTAATAATAAACACGGACAAGTATCTGCTGTAGATTAATAGCTACTGTTTCTAAAATATATAAAAAAATTATACCTTTGTAGACTTTTCCCAACTGACTTACTTGAAATCTTCATTGATATTGGACATTATGTGCGTGATATCAGAGCTTATGAAGGGTTGGCATCAAAGCTAAATTTGTTAAAGGTAAGTAAAAACCTTAAACCTTCATAGCTTTAAGAAGTTGTATTCTTGCTCATTCTTAGCACAAGAAAGGCATGAAATATTTTATATTTATTTATTTGTCATTTAATTTATGACTAGGAGGATGTACTGAAGCAAATTGCTGAAAGTATTGAGAGTATGAATCAGAATAAGGTACCCACAAAATATATAGGAAATTATGCAATTTTAGAGCACCTTGGCAGTGGAGCTTTTGGAAGTGTATATAAGGTAAACTTTGCTTTTGCTATTATTTTACAGATTTGAGGGGAGTTTTCACAAAGAGGGTCTAATGCCTGTTTTAGGCAGAACTGTCCTTTGAATTTCAGTAGGGGAATGTAGGTGCAAAAAGGCCTTTATGGATCTGGGCTTGTTGTTAGTGTTTACTGTGATTTTGTTTGTTCCATCTTGTATTTGTAAGGTTGACCAGCGTATCTCTTAGGTTTTCTACTTTGACTTTCTTTTAGTTCATTTCCACAAATGGCATTTCTATCTATTACAAAGGCCAATAAATCTGTGTAAAACCACAGAAATTCAAGCATGTTTTATCTGAAAAGCAACACTGAGCACAGGTAATGTCACTTCAAACACCGTGCAAGTTCAGCAGTGTACTGCTAATCTCTATTGTGGGACTCCGTTTCTTCTATTAATCACATCATACACACATTGTAACGTTTGTGAGAAAGCTCTGGACTTTGAAAACTAATCCGATAGCCACAATAACATTCTTTCTATCCCCATCCTATATTAATTGTACAAAGGTTATATCTTATTTATAGATTAGGAAGCATTATGGACAAAATCTCCTGGCAATGAAAGAAGTCAATTTACACAATCCAGCATTTGGAAAAGACAAAAAAGACAGAGACAATAGTGTAAGAAACATTGTCTCTGAATTAACCATCATCAGAGAGCAGGTATGTCTCACAAACTCTGATTTGATGTGTGGACATTCTTGTATGGAAAACTGCCTAGTGGAAAAGGACCTGGGGATGCTGGTTGACAGCTGCCTGAACATGAGTCAACAGTGTGCCCAGGTGGCCAAGAAGGCCAATGGAATCCTGGCTTGTGTTAGAAATAGTGTGGCCAGCAGGACCAGGGAAGTGATTGTCCCTCTGTACGTGGCACTGGTGAGGCTGCACCTTGAATCCTGTGTCCAGTTTTGGGCCTCCCACTACAAGAAAGACATTGAAGTGCTGCAGCGTGATCAGAGAAGGGCAACAGAGCTGGTGAAACGTATAGAGAGTAAGTCATGTGAAGAGCAGCTGAGGGAACTGGGGTTGTTTAGCCTGGAGAAAAGGAGGCACAGAGGTGACCTTTTCACTCTCTAAAACTAACTGAAAGGAGGTTGTAGCGAGGTGGGGCATCAGCCCAGGGAACTAGTGATAGGACAGGAGGAAATGGCCTTGAGTTGTGCCAGGGGAGATTTAAATTGGATATTAGGAAAAAGTTTTTCACCGAAAGGGTGGTCAGGCGTGGGAACAGACTGTCCAGGGAAGTGGTAGAGTCACCATCCCTGGAGATACTTAAAGGATGTACAGATGTGGCACTTGGGGACCTGGTTTAGTGATGAACTTGGCAGTGCTGGGCTAATGGTTGGATGCAATGATCTTTAAGGTGTTTTCCAACATAAATGATTCTATATAGCATGACTCCCAGCGGCTTTTGCTTTTTTTTCATTCAATCAGTATTGGCCCCCTTTACCTGAATTCTGCTGATAATGAAAACCTGCTTACTGTAGTGTTAGCAGCAGTGCAAATGCTTGTTACTAAAGATTCTTACTTTATATGTTGGCAGTATTTGAACTTTTTTCAGAGATTCTGTAAATTAAGATTGTGATAAAAACTGATGAGTCTTTGTTGCATTCAGTCAAGTCTTGGTTTTAAAATACAGTGAGAAGATAGTCTTTTCTTGTAACTGAAAACTAGAAAAACAAACTGATCATTAGTACTCCTGAGCTAAGAAAGCCAATACTTTGATACAGGTATAATTACTTGTCTTCAAACTTCATTTACTCTCTTTCAATTATTAAGGGGAGAGAGGAGAGGAATCATACTGTATTTTCCTTCTGGTTGCTCTAGTAATGTGCAACATTTCTCTGTGTTTGGGGTAGCAGTGAAGATCTGCTGCACTGCAGTTCATAAACAACTTTGTGGAATCCTTATGATATCATTCCTTCCAATGTGTAGCTTAAACATTATAAATACTGTGCCATCAGTTTAACTATTCTAAGCATTTACATTTCTTTCCTCATTGTAGCTTTATCATCCAAATGTTGTACGGTATTATAGAACCTTCTTGGAAAGTAAGTATAAATGCAGAGAATTACCACATTTTACATAATGAAGAAATAGAAATATGTCATAAAACCACTTACAGCTTGTCAGGAGTCAAATTTGAGCAATAATCTTTCTTCAAGAACTGCTGCAGTTCAGACAGGCTTATATTCCTTTAAAATTGGAAAAATGGTGAGAAATTATATTTGTTTATCTATCAGTAAAACTAGATGCAATGTAAACATATGGCAAGCATCATTCTTCTTCTAAAAAGATCCAAAATTTAGAACTGAAATGCTAAATAGGGAGAAAAGCTATAGTGAGTCGTAGGATGAAAGATACAGATTGCCCAGCCACATTCTCTTAATTTTCTTTTATAAAGAGTTATCTACATACACCTGCCCCCTGAGTGATTATCAGACAGTGATTTCCTTATAGGTGCTGTGACATAAATTGAGGAAAAAATGGAATACCAAGGAGTAGAGTCATGATTAAAATGTATCTGTCCGTACAAATTAAATTTTTAAAAAGTAAAAAATAACAGCTTCTAAAATATATTTTTACCTCAAATACTCTATTTTCAAATGCCTTCTGTATAAATATAATGTTCTATTAATTTTCTTTTATGTAGATGACAGATTGTACATAGTCATGGAGCTCATAGAGGGGGTGCCATTGGGAGAACACTTTCACTCTTTGAAGGAAAAACAACAACAGTTTACGGAAGACAGAATATGGCATATATTTATCCAAGTAAGGACCTCCATTCCTTTTACCAGAACTTTCCTGGATGTAATTGGTAGCACCATTTTTTTAGGCTAATAAATGACAAAGTAATACTTATTCTATCAGATGCTAATATCAGCTATGAATTTAATTTTATATGCCTTTATTAAGATTGCAGTTAAAGAATCTTTGTAAGGTCCTTTCTGTTTGTTTTTAAGCTTTGTCTAGCTCTTTGTTATTTGCATAAAGAGAAGAGGATTGTTCATCGAGATCTCACTCTGAACAATGTCACGTTAGGGGATAAAGACAAAGTTACAATTAGTAAGTAGAACTGCTTTTCTCTAAGACAATTTCTCATGATGTACCTGAGAAGCATTTCTTTACTGAAACTCTCAGAAGGTTTCGGTTTCCTGGGCCATTGGTCACCAGACTTGGAAGCTAGTAAATTATTGCCTTGTGATCCTATAGTATTGAATGGCATGGGTTGAAAGGGGTCTTAAAGATCATCTATTTTCAATCCCCCTTGCTGTAGGCAGGGACACCTTCCACTAGACCAGGTTGCTCAGAGCTCCATCCAACCTGACCTTAAAAACTTCCAGGGATGGAGCATCCATGACTTCTCTGGGCAACCTGTTCCAATGCCTCAGTGCCTTCACAGTAAAGAAGTTTTTCTAATATGTGATCTAAACCTACTCTCTTTCAGTTTGAAACCATTCCTCCTTGTCCTGTCACTACATCCTCTTGTAAAAAGTTCCTCTCCAGCCCTAATTTTCTATGTAGACTGGGAATGAGAAGCTGGAGAGAAGTGCTGCAGAAAGGGGTCCTGGTCTATGGCAAGTTGAATATGAGTCAGCAGTGCCCCGGCAGCCAGGAGGGCCAAATATGTCCTGGGGGGCATCAGGCAAAGCGTCGCCAGCTGGTTGAGGGAGGGGATTGTCCCACTCTGCTCTGCACTGGTGCAGCCTCACCTTGAATATTGTGTGCAGTTTTGGGCACCACAATATAAGAAAGATACTAAGCTGTTAGAGAGTGTCCAAAGGAGGGCAATAAAGATGGAGAAGAGTCTGGAGGAGAAGCTGTATGAGGAGCAGCTGAGGTCTATTCAGCCTGGAGGAGACTGAGGGGAGACTTCATTGCAGTCTACAACTTCCTTATAAAGAGAAGAGGGGGGCCGGTTGCTGGTCTCTTTGCTCTCATGACCAGTGACAGGACCCGAGGGAATGGCATGAAGCTGAGATGGGAGAGGTTTAGGTTGGATATCAGGAAAAGGTTTTTCACCCAAAGGGTGTTATAGACTGCCCAGGGAAGTGGACACAGCACCAAGCCTGTCTGAGTTCAGGAAGCATTTGGACAAGACTCTCGGGAACATGGTGCAATTGTTGGGGTGTCCTGTGCAGAGTTGCAAGTTGGACTCTATGATCCTGATGAGTCTCTTCCAACCTAGCATATTCTGTGATTCTATGATTCTTCTAGGCTTCCTTCAGGTACTGGAAGGCCACAATTAGGTCCCCTGAAACTCTCTCTTTTCCAGGATGAAAAAAACCAATTCTCTCAGCCTTTCTTTTTAGGAGAGGTGCTCCACGCTTCTAATCGTCTTGGTGGCCCTTGTCTGGACTCACTCCAGCAGATCAATATCCTTCCTGTGCTGGGGACCTCATAGGTGTTTGCAGTACTGCAGGTGGTATCTCACCAGAGCAGAGTAGAGGGGCAGAATCACTTCCCTCGACCTGCTGGGTGCAGCCCAGGGTAGGGTTGGCTTTCACATTGCCAGCTCATGTCTAGCCTTTCATCCACCAGCACCTCCAAGTCCTTCTTGGCAGGGCTGCTCTTGATCTGTTCATCCCACAGCCTGTATTGATGTGGGGGTCGCCCCAACCCAGGTGTGCACTTGGTCTTGTTAAACTGCATGAGATTCCCATGTGCCCACTTCTCAAGCTTGTCCAGGCCCCTTTGGATGGCATCCCATTGTTCAGGTGTGTCAGCCGCAACACTCAACTTGGTGTCATCTGCAAATTTGGTAAGGGTGCACTCAGTCCCTTCGTCTTTGTTATTAATGAAGATATTACCTAAGACTGATACCAATATGGGCACCTGAGGGACACCACTTGTCACTGATGTCCACTGGGGACTCTGAGCCATTGACCACTACCATCTGGATGCAATCATCCAACTACTTTTTTATCCGTCTATCAGTCTGCTCATCAAATTTATCTCTCTTTAATTTAGAGAGAAGGATGTTGTGAGGGATTGTGTCAAAGGCTTTACAGAAGTCCAGATAAATGACACGTGTAGCCCTTTCCTTGTCCACTGATGTAGTCACTCCATCATAGAAGGCCACTAGGTTGTTTGGGCAGGACTTGCCCTTGGTGAAGCCTGAATTGCGTCCCTGTCCTCCACCTGCCTTAGCGTGGCTTCTAGGAGGATCTGTTCCATGATATTCCCAGGCACAGAAGTAAAATAATTGCTAATACAAATTTTGTGTTCATTGCCACCAGGTGTCATCAGCCATGACTATATTTTCTTGCAGCTATATATGTCAAATATGATGAAGGAGATGATTTAGCCTGAAAAAATTAAACTGTAGCTGTACTTCAGTGCCTGTTTTTATTTACATCAGCAAGAATATTGAAATAACGAGATTACATAGCAAGCGCTAATGAACATACAAAGTAAAACAACTGTCAATTTTATTCTATTCCAATTCTACCATGAAGTTGCTTAGTACCTTCAGTTGTTCCCAGTGATCAGCTGCAGTGAGGTGCTATTTGTCTAAGCCTGACTAGTGAATATTCTTGATGTATGCTTCTGTAATCACCACAGTGTGGAGGCGGGAGCCTAGGCAGGTTCTAGGATAGGCTTTGAAAGCAGTATGTGTGTGAACAGTACAAAGCATGGCATAGCTTTGGTCTTTGAGTGAATCAATTCAACCTGGTACACACAGCAAGTCTTACAGGCAATTCAGATCCTGTAGTTTTTAAAGTTCTCAGAGAACTACTGCATGCTTTCTTACTGCTCATGACACAGAAGAAAATAAACTATTTGAATGCCGCAGAATTGTTGTGAGAAGTCTTTATGCAAAATTCAATCTCTCTCCTTTAAATCTAACAGGAAGGTGTAGGTGTATGCACACACCCATGCACAAAACAATCAGCTATAAATATTCAGCAATTGTTGTTTCATAGTAAATATTTTTACCTGATGATGTACATACTTAAATTCATTCATTATTAAATTGTATGTGCCAAAAGCCCTCTAATTTATAGTAATGATATAGTTTTGAAAGAAGGTGATTTAATAGAGCTTTGAGTGATGAAAATAAATATTCAGAATATTAAAGTATCATATAAGTGTATTTTATATCATCACACTACCACTGAGGGGCACTCTTGTATTGATTTAACAACTTTTCCTTTTCTCTGGTCCAATCTAAATATGAAGAAGTGTAAGCGTACTTTCAAATGTAAGCTCAAAATTGACAGAAATATAAATGCTTTTTAATGGCAAAGATTTACAGGAGTTGAGGAAATTGGAAGAACTGAAACTTACTTGGACCATTTCTACAGTGATTGGTTCAAAATTATTGCAATATTTAAACAAACACTTTATTTAGTCCTACAACTAGTACCAGTGTAGTAACCATTGAATTTTTGGAGGGAGCTGAAGACCTTTTATCTATTGCTTCTGAATTTTAGTGAGCCCTGTTTTATGACCATAATGAAATTAAGAATAATTTACTTTCTTTCTGACGACAGTAAATCTCTACTCTGTTGGTGCCTGCTGTGGTATTGTGCCTTAACTCGTACCGTTTATGAGTATGCCAAAGACTGGAGCATTTTGTGATCTTGATAATTATATCTTACAGTTTTTGAGGGTAAATGTACTATCCATTTGAGAATTTCAAGTGGTTCTTGATGAAAGTTTGTTCTGGCCTCAGATGTGAAAGAGTTAATTTTCCTTCTGGTAGCTGGTACTGCGCTGTGTTTTGAACTTAGTATGACAATAATGTTATAACACACTGATGTTTTAGTTGTTGCTAGGTAGTGTTTACTCTAAATCAAGGACTTTTCAGTTTTCCATCCTCTGCCAGTGAGGATGTGCATGGCAAGCTGGGTGGGGGAGCACAGCCAGAACAGCTGACCTGAACTAGCCAAAGGGATATTCCATACGATAGAATGCCACTACCCATATATAAACTGGAGGGAGTTGGCTGGGAGCTGCTAATTGCTGCTTTGGGACTGGCTGGGCATCACTCAGCAGGTGGTGAGCAACTGTAGTGCACATCACTTGTTTTTCCCGAGTTTTATTCCTCTCTCTCTCTCTCTCTCTGTCTCTCTCTCATCATCATCATGGTAATAATTATTATTATTATATTTTATTTTGTTTCTATAATTGAACTGTTCTCATATAAACTGATCAGTTTTACGGTTTTTTTTCCCAATTCTCCTCCCCAGTGGGGGAGGTGGGGAATTGAGTGTCTGGTACTGAGTTGCTGGCTGGGGTTAAACGATGACAAAGTTAATACAAAATGTCAGATGAATATGAAGCATATGCTAAAATATTAAGAAATCTCTACATTGAATTTATCTTGTCAGCTTTTATAAAAAGAGAAGGTCTGCTCCAAGATCTACTGAAAACTGTAGTTCTGTGTTTACAAGCTGCACAGTCATCCTAAATAGAGTTAGTTCAATTTTCTGGAGTCTTTCAAATCTGAAAACTGACCCAAATGTTGCCTTGATCTAACTAGAATAATGTTTCTGTGGACTACCTGTGAAGCGGTGTTGTGTGACTATGTAATCAAGTTATGGCCCAAATTATTTTGTTCCATAAAAGAAGTTTGTATATCTTATAATGCTGCTATTTTTTCTTTTCCTCAATCAGTTCTTCTGGAAATAGTAACTCTTGTTAATCTCTTGCTATGAGACTCTGCAGGCTGATGATATAACAAAGGCAGCTCATTCCTCTGTAACTAATGTTCTTCAAAAATGTTGTCTTTAGAGAGACACCTTAGCTTCAGAATCTCATGGTATATTTTTATTAAAAAAAATGAATGAAGTGAGCAAAGTGCTTCTATAGATTAAGACTTTAATTTTGCAGCAGTCCCAGCAATGAATTGCTTTAAGAAAGTTCTTCAACCCACAAATAGGCATTTTGTACCATGTATGTGACAACGGAACCTCTCACATTCCAAACCCCTTGAAGATCTCTTATGCAGCTTCTGCATTTACACTGGTTGAAAAGGAAAGGAGTGCATAGTGTGGGAGACACTCCCACCTTGCTGTCAGAGCAGAAAACAATAAACCTGCTAAAGAATTATGCTTGTT